TTTTCCAGCAGATGAAGCTCCCCATCAATAGATGGAGCCTCCCTCCTGGTGATAGTGGTGTCTGCTCTTATCAGCACCACTAACACCGGTGGGGGTGTTTCCCCCCCCAAAAAAAAAAAAAAAAAAAAAAAAAAAGGAGATGCCGGGAGGAAGATGATAGCGCCATGATAGTAACACTCATGTCATCTTCTTCTTCTTAATTACTATTGTTATTATATTGCGAGGATCCGGGTCCTCGGCAGGCCTAAGGGACCCCTGTTGCATCTGCGCCCGCCCTAAGTGAAGGCGGGTCTAACAAATCACAAGAAGCCCTCGGCTCTCAATTTCGTATTTGGGGTCCAGGCAGTTTCATCGCGCCAGATGGTTGAAGGAAACACAGGCCGAGCAGCGAGGAAATTGCCACGGCCTTCCAGGCTTTTCCGAAAGCCCAGGCCCTGGGTGAGATTCGCAGCCTCATACACAGACGGTTGGGAGCCCAACCGAATGAGGCCCAGTAGCTGCACCAGAAGCGCAGCATCCTGGGGCCTACCGGAAGAAGCTTCTGGGCCCAGGCCCAGGCCAGCCAGGCTGCGAAGGCAGGCAGGCTCTTTCCATATAGGAAAGAGCTCGCTGCCTGGAGCGCATTCAGCACTTGCATGCTGCCGGCAGTGCTGCTGGAGCGGACGCTCGTGGGCAGCTGCTGGCGCTGAGAGGCAAGGTGCTAGCGCGTGCGGTCGTGCAGGGAGAGGGCGCTGCTGAGGGCAGCGCCATAGCCCAGGCTCCATAGCTGGATGGGCTTGGACTACAGTGAGGCACAGGGGTGGTCTTCGGTTGTACAGAGGGAAGACGTGGGAGTAAGTCAGGGGAGAGAGAGAAGGATGATGATGATGATGATGATGATGTGAGGGCACATACCTGGTATTGGCGATGGTCTGCATTGGTTCAAGTACTTTGTGGGCTGCTGACGTCAACAGTTGCATTGTCAATTAGTAGGCAGACTGTAGTGGTGTAGGAAGTAGGCTGGGCGCTGAGCGCCAATTAGGGAGATAGGGCCTGGACACTCATGTTGGTGGTGGCGAGAGCAAGCTCTCATTGACATTGGTTTTGAGTGTTACAATTCTTCATCGGTGTTATATTGGTGCATTTCTGCTTTCTGGACACTGTGGTACTATCTGGCCTTCAATGTGATTGTGCATTCTGGACATTGTCATATCGCTATTGCTCATTTTCTTTGCAATATCTCTCTGTTTTTGAATTATTTGACCCTTTACCATTGCGCAATCAGCTCTGTCTGTACTTGCTGTTTAATCAGATCTGTAAGGGCCAGGCCATCTAAATGAGCGCCTTCCATCTCAAACACACAGCGCTGCCACCAAAGGGACCAAAGAATTGCTCTTCACCCTTAGGTATATCAAACATGTGCTCCACAAAAGTGCTGTTTGGGTCTGGGTGCCAGGTCCATGCAAACTGGAAACCCATTCTTCGGGCTAGGGGTAATAACCCCAACCTAATCGAGGGTAAGCATGTTATCATGATGGTTCCATTGTGTCCATGTGGAGCAGCACGTGCTGGCAACTCTCCTACGAATGGCACAAAGCAGAGAACTTTTCATTTTACCTGCTACATTTAAAATTTTCCAGCTTCACCTGATATCCAAGTATTACCAATTTACCAGTGACCTGAGTCAGCCCTGAGTCTGCACAGCCTCAATTTTTTGGATACAAGTATAGTCTAAGAGGTCTTCCGGTGAGCCATCGCACCCTTTTGAAATTCTTCCCGTTCCCTCCCCAAGCTTGTGGAGGCCTGTCTGACTGGTGTCCCAGAAGAACCCCCACTTGGGCGGTCGCAGATGCTGGGTGAAAAGGGGAGCAGGGTCAGTTCTCGGATGGGGGTGGGGATATTGGGGGTGGTGTCGAGTTTGAGAGGCATGACTGGCAGGCACGGGTGGTGGTGGGAGGAGGGAGAGGGGTGGGGTGGGGGGGGTGGTAATAGGAGAAATGGAGGGAAGGGAAGGGAGCTGAGAAGCGGGGTGGTGGGAATCAGATGGTCGGGGAGGCAGGGGAAGGGTGGCATTGTCCATTACTAGCGATATTGTCCAATACTAGCGGTATTGTCCATAACTGATGGGAATCAGATGGCCCTGGGCCACTTTGGGGTGTTGAGCACTAAAATGGCCCTTTCTGTCTCTTCAGGTTTATCAGGGGATCATCATATTTAGACCACCCACACATTTCCCAGCCATTTTTTCATAGACACTGCGTGCATGCTGTCGCATCTGGTGGGAAGTACCGGGGCCCCGTTCCGGTGGACATCCATCCAGGAAAAACAGGTCTTGCATGCAACCCGTTCTGCCTGGATGGATATCCAGCGAAACGGCACCCCAGTATGTCACACCCGACGCGGCAGCATGCACACCACGTCTCGGAAAGAATGGCTGGGAAACGTACTGGTGGTTTGATTTAGTACTTTTGCCGAAGGAAGAATGACATGTAGGTTCGTTTTTGCGATGGCTGAAATGCTCCTGTCAGATGCATGTCATGATCAGCTGGGTGCAAGATCACACCAAGACATGCAGACTTCCAGGTGCATCCTGAAAGTAGCCTTCTGGCCATTGCCAACCTGGGAGCTTGTGCAGCTGAACATGAGCGGGAAAACGTCAAAACCAACGATAAGATATAACGTCCTCCTCCCAGAAGATAAGATGTTGCGAAAAGAAAGGCAGCTTGTTCAAGGTGAAATTTGACTTCTACCCTAAGGCTTACGTTTCCATTCATGTCGGTCCTTGTTGCCCATCTGCTGCAGGTTTTACACTCCCCCGGCTGAAGTACAAGGGCTCAAAGGGAGGGCCTACAGTTCAGGCAGTTACCCACAAAGACAGCAAAGATGGCGCTGGTGAGAGGTATTTCTTATTAGATCCCCTTTATGTTTTGTCCGAAACAGCTACAAGCCTGCTTTTCTGTTCGACAAAGGATCGATATATATTAGCAAGCATGTAAGCTGTGTGTCTGACGTACACCCAGCACTGGGCATATGACTCATATCTTTTTATTTTGGGACAAGGACTTTCAGTCACGATCGAGTTTCGTATAGGCAAAAAAAGATGAAATACCACTTTTGTCACAGCCTCAGTTGAAAACAGTGTTTGAACCTCAGGCTGGTAGTTCAGGCAGGCCAGTAGTTTGCTTCAGTCATTTTACAATGGGAACTACCAGTTCCTTCCCAGGTACCAGGCCTGTCCACTTCGTTGGCCCATCGGGCAATGACCGGAGTTCACATTCAGCAGCCAGTAGAACAGCGAAGACTGCCACATGCACACCACTGCCACCCGTGTCTGCCACAGGCGTACATCTCATTCGCGCGGGCATGGTAGATGTCTCGCTGAAGGCAATACTGATTGCACTCATCGCCATTGCGCTGCTCGTCGTGGCCCTCGTCAAGCTGTGCTGCTTGCTGCAGTACTAGCAGCATGCTCGAGAATGCATGATGTGGAGACTTGACAGTCATAGACACATCGCAAAGAGGATGGAAACAGGTATGGGCATGGCAAACATTTGTACAGGATGGGTGCAAGTGATGCCAGTGGTCCAGGGGCCAGCCCTTCTTTCCCCCACTGCTCTTGTGGCGGATCCCTCCTTTTCGCCCATTGGACATATTATCCGAATTTAATGGCGTAGGGCGTGCCTCCTCATGGATCCAGACCGCGACCGTACACTCGCCTTAGCGGGTATCCGCACAGTCCGCCTTCGTGGCGATGTCAATCGAGCATGGAGGACTTCATCATCTGCCGCCCCTGTCGGGGCCTCGCCTGTCCCCGCACCTTTATCGAAATCCAAGAGTCTTTTGAGACTCACTATGGAGCTCCCCGCAATGTTACCATGACACACACGTGCATTACCAGGACCGTGTGGTCTAGGTTATATTGTTTGTTAATACATTTGCCTTAATATATTCTCCTATGTCAGAGCGGATTTTGTATTTAATCTTTTTTTTTTTTTTTTTTTTAACTTGCGTTTGGCTAAGAATTTGAAGATGTCTTCCAGGCAAAAGTTGTTTGTATTATTGTTTTACATAACACATATTTTTGACGAGTTTTTTTTTTTTTTTACTTCAAAATTGATTTTTAGTTTTGTGAAGTAGTTTTCTCATAGATTGGTTTTTGGCCTAACTGTTGAAAACGGCTTATAGTCCTATAAATGAGTATTCATTAAAACCATTTTTTTTCAAGCTTTCAAGTTCGCATCGCAGATCTTAAAGATTGTCTTGTTTGATCTCTGTTTTTTTCCACTTTCTTGCTGGGCTACCAGACCCGCACGGGCCCGGGCGGGTTGGACCTAGTCGCCCGGGTGACCCGGGCAAGTCCAAAAACCGGTCTTTTTTTTTTTTTTTTTTTTTTTTTTGTGATTCCTTCTTGAATTGA